CGAAAATTCATCCGATCTTTTTCAACTTTGACGTAATTGTCAACAATCCACTGTTGAAATTGTCTTCCACCCATCAAAAATCGATTGTTAGCACGAACCGACATTCTGTATTTGATATATTGAGCTCGAGTAACTCGCCGTGCTTTATTTACACATGGGATGTTATGAGACCAACCTTGTGTTCCGTGTGGATAAAATAATGGATAAATCCAAGGTTCTACATTTGGATCTAATGAGTTAACATACTGTAAGCGTTTTGTCTGCCTGTCACGTATGCTAACATAAGACTCTGGTATATCACCATCAGCAGTTGTTGTGAAAATCGCAGCAACTTCGTTGATTGTTTGTAAGTTGTAGCGTCTTCGATCCATACCTGGCTTCAATGAGAATAAAAGCTGCATTTCTGGTTCATTCTGCATTTGATTATTCATTTTTGTTGTTCGTACTTCTTCATGCATCATTCGAAAAGATTGAGCAAACACGTTGCACTCGCGAAGTACGTTATCTAAGTTTCTAACAATATTCTCATTTAAGGTGGATTGTTGTTGACAACGAATATCTGTCGCTTCATTCTGATCAACGATGAACAATTGACCATGACATGGAATATCCCCGACTGACGGATATAAGGAACTATTGATTTGATAGTAAATCTGTCCCTGTATTTTGAAACAGTAAGGCCCAGGTCGCCTGTCATTGAAATTAACTAAATTAGCATTAAACGATGCAAAACCGAATGAGCTATTGTAACATCGAATGCGTTCGAGAAAATGCCGGGATTGCTCATGAGTTCCATCGAATTAGTTTTGTAAAAGTTCAGGGAGATCAGGTAATGGATCGAGATTGACTTCTCCATGACTGCAACAATCATTGAAAGAGTTTCCTTTATGAGCAACTTTTTCGGGTCCGAAGTGCATAGCATTACAATACGAACATGGGATATCCATATTTCCGATATAATGCTTTGAAAATTGTTGCGATGACATTTCACGTATAGATAGCTGAATGGGTCGTCCCAGCCTTGTAAGCGGGTTATTCGTGGTCTCAAGATTCACACCAGCGTTACTCGTTGATGGATTTTTAGATGACAATTGTTATCATCGTTAATAATCCTATCATGTCTGATATTGCCTTTAGACCTCGTCTTTTCACGATACCTACGCTGATATGCTGCATTCTTCTGACGTCTGATTCTCTGGAATTCATGTTCTTCTTCTGGAGTGAGCTGTGCTCTCTTTCTAGACCTATTAATCTGAGACAGCATTTCAGATATAGATCGATTGGAAGGTGGTTCTACCCTCGTGGATACATGTATAAGCGGGTCATTCCTGATTTCAAGATTTACACCAGCATTACTCGTTGATGGATTTTCATTAATCATAGTCACACGGCAATTGTCATCATCGTCATTGATCCTATTAGGCCCGATATTGCTTTCAGACCGCGTCTTTCGACGATACGCACGCTGATATGCTGCCGTCTTTTGACGCCTGATTCTCTGGAATTCTTCTTCTTCTTCTGGAGTACGCGGGATTTTTCCTCTTCGCATATTTGTATTTTCTTTCCTCAAATTTCGATAAATTTTATGACAATCGATGTGTCTCGTTGCAAACCAATTTCTTGTTAAAAAAGAACTACGAAATTAATGATATTTATTCGTGAAAGCGAAAATGGATTTATTTACTATTATTTTCTATGTCAACAACGGAAAATTAAAGCAATAAATATGAATATGATGACTTTTCCTTCATGATACAAATTTATTTACAAATGATATATATATTTACAATCAAATCACATACAATACAATAAGTTATATGACATGCGAGCACAGTTGTGATGTATATTTTCCACTGAACTAATTATTTATAGAGGAATCTCTTTGTTAGTGATGA